GCATTAGATCCGCTTAACATCAAAGTATTATCTCATCGAATAGTTGCAACTGAAGTGAAGTTCCCTAACCCCTTCACTTGATAAGTTAGAGCTCTGGAAGACTATTTTCAGTCTTAGAAACCATTAACCAAGTTGGTGTGCATACGGTCCATTTCATATGCTTGACGTGCTCCGCGGATTTCAATTTCGCCATACGGTGCTTTTCATCCTACCGAAAGTGCCTGATAATTTGCTCTATGCGAGTTGAGCTTCGGTAATATTCTTGCAACCCTGTTCATTCGCTGTGCGAAAACTCAAGTGGACAGTAGTATTAAATGGCAGGTTAAGTCTTTCCTAAATTATCTTAACTTCCAAATCACAATTAAAATAGGCCATATGACCATATTCCCCAGTCGCCAATGGGTTCGGTTATTTGGTGCATGGTGTTCCTTGGCTGTCGGTATCGGCTTGCCAATGTGCTGAGAGCTGCTTGATCTGATGGTGGATGGACTAGTTCGTCGACAAGTTCACCTACACACCACACCGCCACACTTCGCATGACAGATGGTACACCAGCCGCTCATTTTAGTACCTGTCACGACTGCCTACAGCGCACCCTCGCACTCGCATTTCTTATGCATTCCAGCACTCTCACTACCAAATACGTGAAGGAAATGACGGGGAATGTTGAGAGGGGACGCTTGAAGGGGTGGGGAAGCAGGGAACCGAATGAAGGGCTCTAACAACACGTTCCATCTTGCAAACCCATGAAACTCCACCCACCCTCCCTTCCTCCTCTTACTTCCCCTCCAATTTCATGACTCATTGTTAGTGTGGCGGTAGCGCTACTGAGTGTGCGTTCATAACTCCAAAACAGCTCCAACCCCACACAAATTAAATTTCCAGTTTGTGTCACGGATCGTAATTGTTTGCGTCTCAGTATTGAAGCTCATTTGCCCTCCCACACATGGCTGGCTTTCAATAAAATTTCACAAGCAAATAATTCCTTGTGCGTTATAGCGTCAGAAACTGTCGAGGTGGTCCCCATTCTTTTGTAGATATTTGCACAATACATTCGACGACTGACGCTTTCCAGTTTTCCAGACGCTCCGAACGTCCACATCAGCCAGCAGGTAGGGCGCCTGTGGCGAAACCTCTCCAATGACTTTAGAGAGGTTTACGCAAAAGAAGCGCGTCGGCTTCAGAGCCTTCACTCTCTTGAGTTCCCCGACTACAAGTATCAACCACGTCGACGTCTACGGACCCTCGACGGCGATGAAGTCGATTGCCATCCCTCTCCTTTGTGCTCGGCAAGCAATCCCCCATCATCTAATATCAACGTTGTCAATAGTTACTTTGATGAACTTCTCCAAAATGGTCGCCCCAAGAGTCAACCGAAGCCTTCATTTCCAAGCGAATTTGGTTCCAAAGAGCGAACAAACTTCACCGACGGTCTGTTGGACTTTACTGTATTGCGCTATAACCCTAATATGGACACTCTTACATCGCCCCAAAGCATTAATGGCGAGAGGAGCATTATGAAGTACCAACCCGAAGACTCCAACGTTTACCAGCCTGCATTTAACTATCCTGCAATCACTGACAGTGCTGCCAATCGATTGAGCTGGTTGGATGCCAGGTCGATCGAGCCGTTCGGTCTCCCAACCCAAACACAAGTAACATTTACTGGATCTTCCTTTTTGCAACCAGAGAACATTTTTCCGTCCAACGAACACTGGTACCAATACCATAAGGAGGGCTCCTTTGGAGACCCGTTACCCCTTCCGGGGATCGAAACATGGACATTCAGTGGTTCCACCATCTAGATAACCAAAAAATATACAAAGAACACCATATTTTGCTATGAAACTATCAGGTTTTCCGTCATCTAGATGTCTTCCACTTCTCTGCGGCTTGAACACCTCTGCGTGCTACTTCTTGCGAAACTTTATCGAGTCAAGCAAAAAATACATAAAATAAAACTTTTTATTATGTTATTGTGGTGGTACGATGACGTTCCCTTGCCTTTTCATCACTCCCTTAGTTTACCTGTGGCCTTGGATGCGCTTTCGTTCACTCCAGTTTGCGTAAATCATATAGTTAC